TGGTAAGAAATACTTGACAATAAAATATTTGGTCTATTCCATTTTGAAAATACTCTGAGACAATATCAAAGAATAGTGTATCAGCATGAGGGAGCTCCGCCTCACGTTATACAACGAGTAAAAAATCTTCTAGATACAAATCATGAAGAGTGGATTGGTCGAAATGGAACTATCGCATGGCCTTCAAACAGCCCAGATCTTACGCCTATGGATAATTTCCTTTGGGGATATATCAAGAATAAAATAAGACATGCTATGAAGAATGTGTTCAGAACGGGGGTGGAAATATTAGTTGTGATCAATAAATTCGTTATTTTGTTTTTCTTGAATTACTTACCTCTCAATGAGTATTGAATATATATCATAACGATATATTAATTACCAAAATGCATTGTCACAGCATACTCTCGAAAATCATTTGAGGTTCAATAAACACTTTTTTTTCAGGTCAGACTGCCCATATTATGAGAAATACTGAAGATAAATGTATTGAGTTGGAGTATTTTCGTAAAGCTCTTCGAAACTTATATCTAATGGCACGAAAATATATAGAGCCATTTAAAATGTTAACACTTTTTCTTGTTACCTGTATATCCTCTGAGATACTAAAAATATATCAGTTGATTCGATGAGGAAATAAATCCCCTAGGAGGCTGTTCTTTTTATCATTTTCTAATATAAGAAATAATGAAGTTATAGGGTGTGGTACTTTATATATAACGTGTTAAAACTGTTTCAATCTTCTCCTGAAGATGCTAACATAGTTAGCAAAACACGTGTCGAGGCGTTAAAAAATCGGTTTGGTTAGTGGTAAAACAGTGTAATGTATTATCGTGCCAAAGGTTCCAGTCTTCGATATATAGGGCAAAGATTAACTGGATCATCATAAATATTTACTGTAGATCAGGGTTATGGTTGGTTTATTGTGATGTTATATATAGTGGTTTCATCAGTTTTTGTGGGTTACCCTCAAGAATTATATTTAGAATATTGAAGTCAGAACAACCCCACTGAGTAAGGAGATCCCGGGGAGGTTTATCAAAGTTAATTTCTTGTACCTTTGGTGACCTTATTGATATTACATCTTTCAGAAGTGATAATGACATATTTGTGAGACGTTTCAATTCGTCCTTTATTTGGGCTGAATCAGCTTCATCTCTAGATGAACGTCGCTGTTTCGTTTAAACTATGCACGTCTATGCGATCTTAACCGAGTCAATGTTTCAACGTCCTCTCCAAAGTAATCTAATTTCATTCTCAGAACGTGTAATATGATGTACTTTTCCTCATCTTCCGTAGCAGTATTATTACGAAATTGATTCAAAACATTTACACTTTTAATTCTCATGGCTAATATTCGCCATTTTGCGTGATTTGTTGGACGGGATTGAATATATATGGCGTCAGTCAGATGTTATCGTTATCTTCCCTAGAAAATATATCTGAAAGTGTTATTCTTGATTGTTCCTTTCTTGGATTGAATAACTCAGTAATTTTATTCGGAATTTGAGGTAATAGATCATACAATGAAGAAGAATAAATCACTCAAGCAAACAAGTTCTACATCAGTGACAAAGCTAGCTCAAATAGTTTGATTCATGTGCATTCACGAAAGCTTTCATCCGAAGATATCAATGTTCTCAGGTTCTGCATTGTTCACAAGTCAGTACTCATGAAGTTCACTCGGAATTTGGATAGGTACCTACATTTCTAGAAAAAAATGTGAGCTCTGAACAGACCTACCCACTGGATCTATATAAGAAATGATGGAATACAAATCTGCTCCTATAGGAAGGTATACATCTGAAAATGTGACAAAATGACAAAAAGAGAATCGAATCTCACTTTGGATCAAAACACTATAATCCACCCTCTGTTGCAGGAGGGTGGAAGTATCGAGAATAAAAATACACCATCAGGAAGAGGACTGATCAAGGTATAGTATGATATGGATGTGCTGAAACTATATACTTTTGGCATTATTATTGTGAAATTCAATTTCTATTTGTTTTAGGTGCAGTCCGTCAGGTTTCTTCCACTTGTTCGGGCTGCTCATTTCATTCAAAAGCAAATGTAGTGGCTGTCATTCCAAACAGCTTTTGCTGAGATAAAATAAAACTGAACAAGCTGTTGCATGGTCCTCAACTCTCTTGCCTTCAAGCTTAGCAAAAAAATGTTTCAGTTTCTCTTTTTTATTCTCAATTTATATTGGGGAATCATTTTCCGTTATTGTTAGGTTCATTTCATTGAATAATATTCATATTTTGTTGAGTGTTTTTTTAACCATGAAGTTGGTATAAGTGAAATATATATTTATCAGTTTCTATTCTGAATTTTATTTCAGATCATTCAATCAAAACAATTCCGTGATAAAGACCACTGACCTCTGATGACATTTTATATCGATTAGGCATTATTGAGAATTCTTTATTGGTGGTCCTTCCGATGTCATTCTCATTCAATCGTCTATTCAGCCAGCCAGCAGCGCTATCCTTTGGTACGCATCTCTATCAGAATGAGATCAGGTAGTTACTCGTATTTGTATCAAAATTCATGTAGATTGTGTCGGTGAGATGTAAGCAAACCAAGAGTAGTTTGATAGCAATGTAAATAATGTTTTTCGAATACAGCTTTACTTTGTTGAGTAACGTATATTCAAGCATTCTCTGTCAGCCTTCAAAAATCTGAATAGCAATGTTTTGAAAAATTTTCTGAATAAGGAAGCTCACCAAATTGGTACGTCATACCGACGTGATTTTTATACGTCATAGAGATAAGTCCCTGCAACGTCATGAAAGTTACGTTCTCAATAGGTACACCTTTAATCATCTGTAATTTTTTCCAAGATTGCGTATTGCGATTCTGCGCACTTCAAATGATACAAAATTCTTGTGTTCGTTTTTGCACAGGATTGCGCAAGTTTGACAGGGTTAGCAGTCACACTCACGAAATCGGTTGGTTGCAATTAGATAGGACACGTGACTTACATTCTCTCTGCTTCATACACAAGGTTCTGAAAACAGGAACCCCTATATATTTGAACCAAAAATTAGTGCTATCAGAAAGTAATAGGGTGAACACCAGAAAAAGAGACCTACTCATCGTACCTAAGCATTCCACGGAATATTCCACCCGCAGCTTCTCCTATCGTGCTTGTAAGTTGTATAATAATCTGGATTCAAATTTCCGTCATTATACATTATTCAACTTCAAAAAAAAACTGAAAGAGCTTTATTTCAGAAACTGCACGGATAACTGATTAATACTGATATGTTCCACCTTTCTCGGCTTACTGATTTTTACAATAATCACCACGATGTAGTAGATATTCACATGTATTTATATTAATCAAGTTGGGTTTGTTTGTTTTTTTTTTTGTTTTTTTTCTCTTCTTTTCATTTTACTTTCTTTTATTTCTCTTCTGGTAAAGTTTAAAAACAGCTTAAGCTGACACTTCACCATTTCATCATAAATCTTTTTCTTATAATTCAATGTATGCTCAGTTGATTGTGATGAATAAAGACATTTATTATTATTATTATTATTATATATACAAATGATAACTTTCTTCTTTTCCAACTCCATTTTCGTATATATACAGGGTGTCCCTAATTCAATGGCCTGATACACGTTTTTGGAGAACGGATTATTTTGAAAATTCAATGCCTTGGTAATCAGTTCGGCTCTATCAATCTAGAGATATTTTCAATGCAGAAAAACTTTGTAATTTCGAATATAACACCCTGTATATTATTGCGTTTCCAGATTCTTCCTGAAAATCTGATGTCATCGGTCTATTACACTTGGGGTCTGTCGTTACCACCGAGTATCGGTGGTAACGGGTCTGTGGGGAATAATTACAGGGATGAAGGGTGTGGAAAATCGATATTTTTCAACTTTATATGAACATTTTGTGTTCGAACTGTTTATCATTGGTTTAAAGGGTTTTCATCATGTCCCTATTTCATTTTTTCATTCACCATCAATCGATATTCAATTGGAACAGAAATATTCGAAATAACAGAGTTATTGCTACTTCTCGATAGAAGCGGCAACGCCAAAGCGCTGAAAATATTTCAGATTGATAGAACAGAACTGATAACTCAGAAAATCAAATCCTCAAAATGATCCTATGTCCTGTACTCCAGAAACGTTTGAATAGGCCATAGAGTTTGGGACACCCTGTATATATATCATGAACACACATACCGAACTATAGAAAAACATGACGTTGAAACGATGTCCCTGCAACGTCATGAAACCGACGTCATATTTTATCCATCCAAGTGACGTTGACTCAACGTCGTGGTGATGACGTGATTATCACGTCATAGAAAGTAGGTATGTCAAATTGGCGTCAGAAATTGGTGTGTGACGTCTCTGACAAAAAAACACCAATTGGATACGTCACATGCAGTGACGTGAACATTCGTCATCTGGTTGCCTGGGACTCGAGGAGAGGTAGCATCAAGTTTTACAAAAACTGGCATGCTCTATACGCACTACCTATGTTAGGTCACAATATGGATTCCATATGAGGAAGAGACTATGCATCTTTCAATACTGAACATATTGTTAATTGGCAAATTACGCTGATAATTTCTCACCAAATATCTTCGATCAATTTAAAGCTTGTATTTCGTATCGTTACCATAGGAACTAAACAAATTTCTTGGAGATGTTTTCCTCCTCCGAATATTCAGAAAATTCTCCCTCGTCTTCGACTCGTGAAAATTTTCGTAATATTCGTGTTCTCTACAAAATTTCCGGAAATAATTGAAGCTCTCGTGATATTATAAGTGATTAAAATTATTTTTTCCGGAAATTTGCTGCAAATTAGAATTGTTCAGTGGGTCTGTGATATTTTTACCCTGTATTCTTTCATATTACCGATGGTCATTTCGGAAATATTATTGATGTTGCAAGGTCATCGTGTTATATTGTGAATGTATTCAAGTATTTCAAGACAACGGCATCTATTAAACTTTGATATATTAATCGGAACACATACAATCGAAGCATCAAGAACACGACTCGATATTTTTTTAAATAGTGATGTAATAATGTATTCTTTATCCCAATATAACTTCATTGAATTCCGTTGGAATTAACAGCACTGAGATACAATCACTCTGAGATGGTCGGTGTTTATTGCTTTGGGATTATTTCAGTATGTGTGTTAGTTTTAGTGCAAATCAGGTCATCTGTTAGTGTTACTTCTGAACCTCGGGTGAGTCTTCCATCATTTTTATACTGGGTGAAATATATTTTTATAGCAGGATCTCGTTAACAAATTGTTCATAAAATACGGCAGAGTGCTTTAATTGGAAATATACAGACATGAAGTTTCATAAACATGAAATAAGTCATAGTTATAATACTAACTTTTCGGAACTTTGAAATAAGTTTGAATAAATATACAGTGTGTGCGATTTCAATCCGCAACACCCTCCTAGTCCGGAACCCGTCGACCGATTTTCAGAAACAAAAATTTCTATAATATGCTACTCAGCGAGCTCTATTCAAAAATGTGGACAAATTGGAAATATTCAGATTTTCAAGGCCTACCCTTGTTTGTTGAAGAGGTCAAAATTGCAACATCGACTACTAGGCAATTTTTTTTTCGAGATGGTGACTAGCCAATTTCATTCAGGCATAGCTGAAATACCCCTATCCGGAATTTGAACGCAAAATCTCATATAGGGTGTTGGTTATTCAATGGCAAATGTTGATATTTTTGATTTTTCGATTCACCCTGTATTGAAATATGAGGAGTTGGTATAACCGGTGAAGTAGTTATTCAATAGAGGAACACATCGAATACATAGATACGAGGTTTCATCACTGTAACTTCTACAGGAAGTGGAGTGAAACCCATTGGTGAAAGAAATAGTCCAGTCGGCAGGTAGTTTCAGCGATGAAAAATTCAGAAGTTAATGAAATTTTAGTATGTTGTTTGTACATGTTTAGTGATGCCAAATCCAAGTTTTCGACCTCGAGGAGGTTGTGGAAAATTTTTGGCGGCCAAAAAACCTCGAAATATTCGGACTTGTTTAAGTTTTTCACCTATAACTCGACAACGGTCAATCCTACGGGAAAAAACACAGTATACTAAATTAAAGAAGACAAAATTTCCTGTCGACTCACGAAATAAAAACTGGAATCGGAGCTGTAATAAAGTTTTCACGAGCGATCAAAGTATGGTGATTATTTCCAATTTTGGTAAAAACTGCCGTCACCCCCATTTTCAAAGTGCCGTATCTTTACAAAATTACTTTTTTTTCAACCTCCCTCCTTAGAGTTTGTAGAGTATCAATCAGAGAGTTCAAAATGCGCTAACATTTTGAAATCAGCACAATTTCTGAAATTGTTGGGACTGTTTTTAAAAAATTAGCGTTTCTCGAAAATAGCTACCTATTGATTCTATGCTTTTTACTTGGGGTAAATGATCCCAATGACCCATGACCACCTTGTGATTCCGTCTCAATTTTATTGATACCTAGGAAAATAATAATGGTTGACGGAGAACAATGTCATACCCAATAGATAATAAATGTAATTATGTGAAAAAATATATTTACGAAGAATTCATTAGTAGGTATGGCATAAAAACATATACATATCTACACACTATATAATACATAATGTATCTGCATCAGTCTTCATATCGAGTTTTCGAAGGTTCTGTTCTGCGAGAAAAAAGGCAACAATGAAATATTTCATGTAAAAAATAAGAACGCTAATGAATAATAATGAATGGAGATACATACATTGATTGAGTCGAGACCCTTTTGGCTGAGGTTCGACGTCGTCGTCCTCAAGTTCGTGCTCCTCTTGGGCGATGAGATCTTCCAGGAGGTCGTCGTCCTCCTCTTCGTCGTCCTCATTGAGTTCTGGCACGCGCGAGTTCTCGCAGGCGTGGCCGGAGCAGTGCTTGCAAATAACTGAGCACCGCAGGCCTGCCTCCTTGCAACTACAGGCCGCGGTGCTGCAGCCTCTGGCACACTTGCAGGCAAGAATCTTCAGGAGAGACTCAGGGGCTGCATTCTTCGTAGTGGTGATAGGTACCACTCCTTGCTTGGTTAGGGACCACCCCCAATCTGCAGGGATCTTGTTGTTTCCTAACCAAGTTTGTACCTGCTGGTATGTACGGAAGGAATGATACCTACCAGCATCACTAGTAGGTGGAAGCCTGGCAAGTTGAAATTTGGCTTTTGACACCGACTTGGTGAATATTTTGTATCGCAGTCCATCAAGGTTTTCTCGCTCGGGGTCTCCTACATACATTGTCACCAGAAATTTTTCGCCCGCTTCACAAATTTCTGATGCAGTGGCATCTGGTTTGGTGAAAATCAAAACGTTGGGCATAAGGAAGGGATTCTTCGCGTACGTGCTGCAAACCTTTTTCTTTCCCAAACCAAAGGGTGCGGAAGTAGTGTCGCATCCACTTATGGCATGGAGAAAGAGAATTTCTTCTTTCTTAAACTGTATGATTTTGAAACAAATGAATCTATTTCTATCTATCTATCTATGTTTGAATGAATGCAAAGTTACGTAATCATGAGCCCCAAAAAATGCAGACAATAAACCTTAAAAAATACAACTATCTCAGGAGATATACATGAAGAAAACTAAAAGAATGTGACCCATAATTTAGTTATTAACAACTTTATTCAATGGACAGTAATTCAACATAATCATTGGTACTTCTAATGACCTACGTCATACAGAATGACAATATCAAATTGATTTTCTGACGTATATCTCCTAAAATAAGCGGTTTTTTCTTTATTTATTAACTGCATTTTGTTGGACTTCTGTTTACGCAACTTTGCCTCCCTTTGAACTTTGTTTTATCTCTGACGGTTTCCATATCCATATAACAGAATTAGTAACAGCTTGTGTAAGGATAATAAATTCTCAAGATTTATTTCTACCTAAATACAGTATTTTTCACTAAAAAGTTATTCTTCATAAAAATTTTTGCATATTCTATGATCTGAAATACAATTATCAGATATAAAAATTATTCAGTCATATACGCAGTGTGTCAAAAAATGTGAATTGTACCCAAGAGTAAAGTACCTTTATATTTGGCTCACCGTGTATTAGACTGAAAAAAAATGATATCGGATGATTGTATTCCAGATTTTAGGACATACAGAACTTTTTAAGAGGAATAATTTTTTTTCTGAGATGAATAATAAAAAAGATGCAGCACTTTGAAAATGGGGTTATGGCAGGTTTTACCAAAATTCGAAATAATCACCATATTTCGATCGCTCGTGAAAACTTTACTACTTCTCCGATTTCAGTTTTTTTTTCGTGAGTCAACGGGGAATTTTGTCTTCTTTAATTTAGTATACTATGTTTCTTCCCGTAGGATTGACCGTTGTCGAGTTATAGGTGAAAAACTGAAACAAGTCCGAAAATTTCGAGGTTTTTTGACCGCCAAAAATTTTCCACAACCTCCTCGAGGTCAAAAACTTGGATTTGACATCACTCAACATGTACAAATAACATACTTGAATTTCATCAACTTCTGAATTTTTCATCGTGACACCCCTTTTTCACGACCTGCCGACTGGGCTAAAAGAGAAATTATCAAAAGTGAAAGAAAAAATAATGTACTGGCGATCTGAGGTCGGAAATTGGAAGGGAGTGAGTTTTTAATTGTAAAAAAAATGAATTACCTCGTTTTCTGGCAAAAATACAAGTCCTATCGAAAAGAGTTGAATGACAAATTTGTAAGTGATAAAAAGTTGTTCACAAACTCCTTTCACATAACTTCAAGAATATTTCAAATCACCGAGTTTTTGGTTCTTTATTTGGTGAAAATTTTCCCGTTTATGTCCTGATAAGACATGTTTTTTCATCACAATATTTATTTCTACCCTAATTTTCAATCGAATATTCTCGCTTCAAAATATTTGCTTTTTCGAAACAGTCGATGCCCTAACAACACAAGTACGTCCCAGGGACGTCCTTCATTTTCTACGAGGACGTCCCTGGGATATCCTGTGTCGGGACATAGTACATACTAAGGACGTCCCAGGGACATCCGCTTTCCACAAAAAGAGGCCTCCTAGGGATGTCCTTCTGGTACGTCCCTGGGATGTACCAAGTACGAAGAAAGGATATCCCTAGGACGTCCCAAGGATATCCCAGGGACATCCCTTCGACAAAAAAAACAATGTAGGTCGAGTACGAATTGAACCCGGGACTTTTGGCTTATCAGGCACGCATCCTACTCCATTGGCTATTGAGCCTCCTGAAGATTTATGTACTAAACAGATTCATAAACAGGACTTAACTACAGAAACCTGAATGAATACAACTTTGTTATGATTTGGGTATAATCATTATATCATTCTTGGGTGTTTAAAAATGAGGGGCATTATGCATGTACGATTTCTGTTTGCGAATAATGGTGATTTCTTAAGAAGTTCTGAAACTTTATTCTTTATTTTCATTACGATTATTTTCCGGAAGGAAAACAAACATTTTCAAAAAAATGCAACTTAATACTTTGATAAAATTCAATGATCTGAATGGATATCAGATATTCCAGGGACACGAATAGGATAACCTAGGGATGTACCGGGCGGGATGTCCACTGGACAACCACTGCGCGGCAACCCCCTGGATGCCCCAATCATGTCCTTGTACCGCGGGACAAAAAAGGGACGTACCTAGGACATCCCTGTGTTGTTAGGGTGGGTTTTTTATTCGTTATTGATATCTCTACTTTCTGATGGTGTGGAAGATAAATACATTACTAGGGTAAATGTTCTCAATAGAACGAAACTCGAATCCAAAATGTTATTTTTGAATCATCATCAAAATTAACACTGATTGTTCGAAAAATGTGAGATTTCACGTTACATATTGATGAATAGAAACATTTTGAATCCAAGATTGCAAGAAACATGCAAAAATAGTTGTTCTGAATAATAAAGATAGGATTTAGAGTGGATTTAATTTGAAAAATGTGAGTGATTCACTTTTGTTCCTCTGCATTTTCTGAGAACAGTCACCATCTTTATGTTTATTTTGTAACATCATTATAAAGTTGAGATTTCAACGAATAAAAAACCCATCGACTTCGTTCAAAAGAATCACAGTGTGTTTGAGAAATAAAGAGGTGAATTTTCACAGAATTTTGTGCAAAAACTTTTTTCTTGTGAAAGAAAAATAAATAACCAATAACTTGGCTATTCGAACTTTTCA